TTTTTTTTTTTTTTTTTTTTTTTTTTTTTTTTTTTTTTTTTTTTTTTTTTTGCATTCTCTTCCATCTTGTCAACAAAGGGATTTGACCTCCCTAACTGAGCAATAGATAACCTTGTTTATTTTTTTCATGAGTAGAAACTATGTGGTATACCAAAGTGAACTTTGATTTACCTATGATGCTCCATATAGTATAACCCACTCTGCTCATCATGAATGCTGGGCGCTGTGAATTGGATAGAAAGCTATAGCAACTGCCTGCCGCTCAGACCCAGGACCGCTTTGTGTTCCTGCTCTCTGAGGCCTATTTTCCCAGCCAGCTGCCTGCTGCCTGCTGTCTACATTTCAATGACACTGCAGTAGGAAAGACCCTTAACAGTGCGTTCCTGGTCTATGTGTCCCTCTCAAAGAGCATCCTGCTCCTCCTTGTCTCCAGCCATGTCCTCCCTAAGCCAGAAAGGAATGTAGGATGGGATTATTTTTAAATTGATTACTTTCAACTATATTGCTACTTAAGGGAAGTTCGATATATTTGCTTTCTGTTACTATGAGAAATGCCTAAGACAAGATGACATGTTCATTTGGGCCCACAGTCTAGAGCCTGTGGAAGCACATTAGTTTGGGAGCACATGATCAAAGGAGCTCATTTACCCTATCATTGGGTATGGAAAAGTGAAAGAGGGGCTGAAGTCCCCTTATCCCCCTCGATAACCTGCCCCAAATAACCTAAGAAAGCCTCCCAACTACACCCTCTGTCTTAAAGGCCCCACAACCAGTAGCTGGGGCCTTTGGTGAGATTCAGGATCCTGACCATAGCAAGATCTTTGATGTAAAAGGGAGAGTATGTTTGACAGAGCTCCTGAGTGCAGTGGTTAAAGCTACATTCTAAAACCAGACCATCTAGGGTTTGTTTCTGTTCTATTGAAATAAAATTGACATAACATGAAATTAGTCATTTTGGAAGTGTGCAATTCAGTACCTTTGAGTACTTCTCTAGTCTGCATGTTTTGGATGTGTGTGGCTTCTCCATACTTTGGTTTTGAAGTTCATCTAGTTTCCACTCATCAGTATTAGTGGGTTATTATTATTATTATTATTATTATTATCATCATCATCATCATTTTGCCAAACAGTAATCCATTCTCTGGCTATATGAAATTTATTGATAACCGTTCATCTGTCGGTAATAGCTAAACATTTTAGGAAAATGTGTGTGTGTGTGTGTGTGTGTGTGTGTGTGTGTGTGTGTTGCTCGGGATTGAACCTATGACTTCATCTTTGGCAAATACTCTACAAGTGAACTCTTATAGCCCTAGCCCCTCTTACTTTTCTTTCTGAGACAGGGTCTCATTAAGTTGCTAGGGCTAGCCTTGAACTCCCTCTGTAGTCTAAGCAGGCCTTGAACATATGATCCTTTTCACTGGGCCTCCCCAGGTAGCCAGAATTACAGGCCTGATCAAGAAGCTCAACAGCCAATTCTTGCCTGACTTAGTTTGAGCATCCACCTTCTGTTCTTCGGGGCATATACCTAGGTATTACTGGGTTATGTTGTAATAATACATTCCATGTTTTGAAACCCACTAAACCTTTACACATCAACACATATGTTTCATATTTCTACCACATTACTTGGCTATAATTCTAGTCCTGTCACATAGTCCTGCTGTTTGAACTTGGACAAGTCACTTCTGCCTTCTGTGATGACAGATGTATCCTGAGGACAGTGATGCTCTCTGCTCAATGAAGATGTCACTCGGAGTGGATTTATGTGTCCAGTGAAAGGCTGAGGATCACTGGGGCTCCAGGACCGCCATGCAGGGTGTAATGCAGTAAAGAGCTCTGATCCAAACTCCTGGGTTCCTTGCCAAGGCCATTCCTCCCTTCAAGGAATCCTAGTTCTTACATGTTTGGCAGTTTGCCAAAGCTCCATACGTCTTTTGTTTGCCCTGAAAATCTCAGAGGCTACACAGATCTGGGTCTGCCACTTAGGACTGGTCTCAATTCATGGCTTGGGCTAGGGTGGGAAAGCAATAGAGGGCTGAAGGAAGGTCAATTCCCCCTCACCTAGCATGGACTGCTGAGGCTAAAGAGAAGGGGACATGCCAGCTAGCTAGCCTTGACCGTGAGTGCCTTGGAGGTGACTTCTTGCTGCCCTTCGTAGATGAGGGCTCAGTGCCTGACTGAGGACAGACCTTGCAAGGAACAGCAAAGGCTCCTAGAAGTCCACCCTTCCCAAATGCGGCTCCAAGAAGAAAGGAAGGAAAAGAAAGCAGAGTAGAGTGGACACGCCAGGGTGGGAAAGAAATGGAAGGAGCTTTTGGGGGCTAGGACCAAGGCAGATACTTCTCTTCTCAAGCATATTCTGTCTACATCCAAGTCTGACCTGAAATCAGCAGGTGGGGGACAAGGGAGAGAGCACTCTGGCCACATAGGGACTAGTTTGTGTTCCAATGAAGTGTTTTCCTAAGGTGCCAGTGCACCTGAAACCCACTTGTCCAAGGTTCTGGCATGACTGAAGGCCTGGTCCTTACTTACCTACTAGAGGTGTTGTGGCCTTTGCGGGTCGGGCTCAGAGATTTGGTGGCATCACTGGGAAGGGCGCCCACTGGGGGCCACTTGCTTTGCTGTAGCTTCTTCTCCTGAGAACCCAGGGCTGGCTCTGCTACTAATGGGGTTGGCAAACAGGAGCGTCCATGGCTTCTCATTATACAGAAGAGATGTTGTTCAGATCCCTCCCTCTGTCCACAGGAAAGGGTCGGTGACACAAGTCATAGCCTTTTGGTCTTTGTGATGAGGCCACCGTACCAGTCTGTCCTAGCATCTATCATATAAGCATAAGCACCCCTGCCGTCATGCCACTTTCCCAGAGCTATCCACAAAAGCAAGTCCGCACTGTTGTGGGAAAGCAGGGGTCAATCCAACATGTGTGAATGCCTGTTGTGTATGGAATGATGTAAGTACTTCCTAGGCCCACGGGGTGCTGGGGCAACTTCCCGGCCTTGTCTCTGGCACTATTTGCTGGTGTGTGGTCTACAAACAGTTCTTTTCCTTACCGTGGCAAGGTGGAGGTCACTGACATTGACTCGTAATACTTATACTGTCAGAAATGCCCGGAGAGTCACAACAAGCTCAGAACTCCAGGTCCTATGTCCTGAAATCAGACTCTGTGCTTAGCCCAGGCCATCAGACCTGTGGGGGAGCACTTACCGTGGGGACTGTGGTGCATCCAGCATGAAGGAACCAGCCCCTCCATTATTCAAGCTGCTGTTTCCCTAACCATCATCCTCCCACAGACTGGAAATACGTAGTCCTTGGTGGCAAGTGGTATTTCTGTGGTGACACATGACACATACCTGGATCCTGCCCCACTAGGTTTGCTGTTAGCAGGTGATACCATACCATCATGATGTGGCAACCCATGCATGAGAATAAGGCCGCCTGCTTTCAGTCCATGTGCAGACATGTTTCTCACTCGCCTGCTTGCATTCTTTCCGTCTCCAGGACTCACAGGATCAGCCACTGCTACCGCATCACCTACCGCCACATGGAGCGGACACTGTCCCAGAGAGAAGTCAGCAGTGTCCACCAGGCTGTGCAGGAGGCCGCCGTGCAGCTGCTGGGTGTGGAGGGCCGTTTTTGATGTCCTGGTTTTCAGGCTGTGGCCCTCATGGACTTCCAAGACTTGCTGGAAACGGGGAAAGATATTGTTTGTGAGCTGGAGTATCTGTCATCTCTTGATAAATGCGTCTGCTTTAGGACTTTCAGGAAATAAAGGATTACTTTTGAGAAGCATTGACATAGTATTTGTCTTTTGTTTGGGGGAAGGAAAAAGCAGGCACTAATAGAAGAGCTCCCTGCTATTCGTTTAGAAATGCTTGGCCCATTGGCTCTCTGCGTGGTTAATTGGTCCCTGGGTTCCATTAAGCACCAGGCATGCTTCTCGCCTGACAGGCTCTTCCACCCATGTAATGATTGAAGCCACAGAGAAGGGCCTCAGAAACTGGATGTAGTACAGGCATGCCTAGATTTTGTGTGCCTGCTTGGCTGCAGGTCACAGATCCTGCGTTTTGAGAAATTGGAGGTTTGTGGCAACCTGTGTTGAGCAAACCTGTCATTCCTTTTTTCCTTCAACTCGAACGATCATTAGTATTTCTTAGCAGTTTTTTAATTGGGTAAACACATGGGTTTTTCCGACATAAAGCTATTGTGCACCTTAAGGAGGCAGTATCAGGAAAGCCTATACTTCCATATGCACTGAGAGACCAAAGATGCCTGTGCCTTGCTTCTTGATGAATTCACTGTATCGCAGTAGTCTGGAACCAGATTGTCACCCCAAACCACACCTGTCCAGGAAGTCTTTGAATCTTTGCCATCCTTTCTCCCTTCTCTTTTTTGTTTTGCAAAGGGCAGGCTTCAAAGAGGCCACTGATGAAATGCCAGGGCTTCCCCTGAAAGTGGCGACAGCCACGTCTCTGAGCAGGCAGGGCAGCCATTCGCTTTCATAAGCCCAAGGCCAGGGGCCAGCCCGTTGGCCCTGAGCTTGGACCTTCCTGCCTTCTGCCCTGGTGCAGAGGAAGGAAAGGAGCAAGAACAGCCCTGAGTCGAGAAGACACAGGAGGGCAAGCTCCTCAGGTTGTTCCCTGCAGGAGGCCTCCCCTTCTGGAAGGAAGGCGACCTTTAAGGGAGAGCAAGGGCTTTGATGTCTTCCCCTTTCCCTGGTGCACTTTGTAGTCTGCCTGCTTTCCTCATGACCAGCCTTAATAATCAGATTTCAGGCCTGACAAGATGCTGGAGGCTGATGGAAGACTCTGAGTGCTGGGATAAATATTTGATGAGAGGTGGCCATTATCAGCAAGCATGTAGGGGGCGGGCAGCTGCTCAGAGTGTGGCTGTTTGGAAACAGGCTTATTGTAGACACAATTAGCTAAAAATGACATCTGACTGGGAGAATGGACCCTTTTCCAAATGGCCGGTGTCCTTCTGAAAAGAGGACCTCATGAAGTCAGAGATACCAGGAGAGCTATCTGTGAGCTCGGCATTCCCAATGCCTGTCAACAAGCCATAGGAGACGGGGGGGGGGGGGGGGGGGGGGGGNGGGGGGGGGGGGGGGGGGGGGGGGGGGGTGGAGGTTCCCTATGGATTTCAAAGGAGTGTGAAGATCTGCTGAACACTTGAAATCAGACTTCTGCCCCAAGAACTATGACAAAGTATATTTCTAGTTTGGGGTATGTCTTAGTTAGGGTTTTATTGCTCTGAAGTGACATCACGAACGGGCAACTCTTATAAAGGAAACCTTTAATTGGGGCTGGTTTACAGTTCAGAGATTTAGTCCGTTAACATCATGGCAGGTGGCATGCAGGCAGAGGTGGTGCTTGGAGGAGGAGCTGAGAGTTCTACATCAGGCAGCAGGAAGTGAACTGCAAAACAAACACATCCTCCAGCAAGGCCACACCTCCTCATAGTGCCCCTCCATCGAGCCTATGGGGGCCAAACGCATTCAAACTACCACAGGGTACTTTGTAATGGTGATCCTGAGAACCTAATACATCACCCCAAACAGGGAAACCACTTCCCTGTCTCATTAAGTCTCTGCAATGAGGGTCGCACCTAAGATTCCTCCTCCTACCTAGGGAGGAGACTGGAAGTCTGACCTAGCCAAGAGACACTGAGCTGTCTCATGACTCCTATGAACGGCACCTGGCAGCCTCTTGAGAGGTATATGGCATGGGCATCACTTAAGGGTCAAGGTCTGGAAGTTTAGTCCACATAGCTGAGACTGGGGGGGGGGGGTCTCCAAACTTTGCAAGCACAGACCTAAGGCCAAGGAAGGTCTGTCCATGTCAAGAGTGCCCTGGATGGCCATGTGCTCTGCCGATTGATGACCTTGGCACACAAGGGCATGTAATAGTTACAGGAGTAACAGAAGAACATGGACTGTCCTTGACACCCAAGACAGGAAGAGCAGTTCATAGATAGCCAATGCATGCCTGTACCGTTAGGTAACACACCCTCTCTGGAATCTCCAGGAATTTGCCATCCAGTGGCAAGGGATAGAAACATTGAGACTGAATGCTGGCAATGGAGGCCAGGCCTAGAGTGCTTGCATTGAGTGTGTGTGGTCCAGGTTTCCATCTGCAGTCTAGAGTCTAGGGCTGTACTCCTGAAGGTGCCCGATGGCCTCTGATCTTGGAATGCAGCAAACTGGGCCTGGTTAATACTTAGGGTCCCAGGGCTCCAAGCTCCTGGACATGAGTTTCAATAGATTCTACAAAGTTGGCATCACTAAGCACTCTCAGCTGCCACAATCATTACATCCCCTGCCTAGGCAAGGAAAAGGAAGCCTTGGTTGTCACAGGCAGTCAGGGGATGTCACTCCCTTTTGCTCCTGTTTCTCTGCCCTCAAATCCTCGGTCCAGAGGTCAGAACACTATTCTTCTCTCCCTCCCTTCCCTTCCTTCTTCTTCTCCTCCCCATCACTCTTTTCCTTCTCTTTCTCCATCCTCCCCTCCCATCATCTTCACCATCCTCCTTCCACCTTGCCCTCCTTCCCTTCCTCCACTCCCTCTCCTTTTTCCTTCCTTCCTTCCTTCCTTCCTTCCTTCCTTCCCTCCTTCCTTCCCTCCTTCCTTCCTCTTCTTCCAGCTCTTTCATGTGGCCCCTCCTTCGCCAGCTCTCTACTCCCCTACCCTCTCCTGTCTCCTACCCAGCTACCCTGGAGGAGGCTGCCTTGGCTTGCGTATTCAGACCGTTACAATGCTGTGTAAACTGCAGCTCCTGCTAGAGGGAAGCACTGTAGGCCTTGCTGTCACCTGCTGGTGAGGGAAACAGCACCTGGTAAATCAGGGTTCCTTTACCAGGGCAGCTGGCCCTGCTCTTGTCTCTGTGTGTTAATCAGCTCCATGCCCTGGTGAGCACAGACTGCAGGGCCTCTCTGCAGCACAGGGAGTTTCCCGGTCTGTTTAGCTCTGCCACTACCAAACCCCCGGTAGAGGAAGCTAAAGATTACGGGCTTCCCTGCCTCACGCCTCAGGCCGACCAGCTCTGACAGGTCACGCTGTGCCATTCCAGCTGGGTCCAGCCTGCAGGTGACTGTCCATTTCTGTGTCCATCCAGCGAGCTGTAGCTAGTGTTTTATAAGGACTCACCCTGGGGCCGGGAGAGGGGTTGGGAACTCTTCCAGTTTTTGTTCAATGCAGCATCAGAGATGGGAAACACTGCAATGACCAGGGAAGACGCATTGTCAAGATGGACATGGTAGTTTACAAAGTGGCTAAGAACCCTGACTTTGGACTCTGGCAGATGCAGGTTCAAATGCAGAGCAGGAAGGGGCCCAACTCATCCTAAGTGTGGCATAGCTTCTGGTATTGGACAGGTGAAGGATACAGATTCCCAGAGAGCCACCGTTTCCACTGAAGGACAGGGAGGCATCTGTAAAATGTGGAGAGGGAGGCATCTGCAAAATGTGGTACCAGGAGGTCTGACCTGAAAGAAACTTTAGGACTCATCCAGCACCCCCACCTTAGAGGTGAATTCCCCAAGTCCATGGGTGTAAAATGGCTGACTGAATTTGGATAGTTTGGCTGTGAAGATTAGAATGCCCAGCCTAGCTACAGTGACTTAGTCAAGCATCCCAGAGAACCAGAAGTCAGAGGAAGCACACTACCAGGCCTTCCCATTTCTTAGCTCTGCTGCCTGTGGTGCATTGATGCTCCAGGGTTGCAATGGGGCAGAGGAACACAAGCAACATATCCCACGTCTGTGTGCAGGAAGGGAGAGAGCCAGGCATCTTAGCGTCTCCTCACGAGTATCTTCCACCATACACAAACCATTTCTCACCCTTCCCTTCAAGCGTGTTTGGCTAGAATTAAGCAAGCCCGGTTTGCATATTCAGGGCCTGGCATTATCTTTATATATCAACCCCTTTCCTGTGCTGTGTCCTCTCTGAGCAGGGCATGAGGGTCAGGGGTGAGAGTGGGGGTTCAGGAAACCAAGACCACGGAGTCCACACTGAACAATGGCAGAGGCCAGCCCAGGTAGAGCTTGGTTTCCTGGCTTCTAGGTCCCAGAGCCACAGACAAGTGAGAAGTATATTTCAACCTGGGGCCCAGGGAGTCAAGCTGATGACTCAGCCTTCTCCACATTCTTGCTGGGACAATTGAAGATGGTGGCTGACATGAAAACCACAGGCACAATGGGAGGCTGGCAGTTTGGAGAGACGTTTAAGGGGCCTTTCTTTCCTTACAGTGCTTATGAGCTTTCTACAAAGGCTAACTTATTTATGCCCATAACGCAAGGTGAAGTCCATGGAAAACATTGTTTTTTTTTTTTGTTTTTTTTTTTTTTTTTTTTTTGCCATGCCTAGTGTCTCTTGCACCCAGAGATGTTTGTGTGCAGGGATGGGTCCAGCTGCACACAGAGCCCCCCCCCCCCAGAACTTGCGGTATTTGTTGGCAGGGACAGGATCTAGTGCCAGGAATCAAAATGCTAAGCCCTTTGTCACTTTCTCGAGCTAAATGTCAAGAAAGCAATTATGGGTGACCCGGAGGCTTGCAGCGTGGAATAAGCGAGCATCCAGGGGACTGTGCACAGCTCCTGGTTGCTCAGGCCAGGCTGCGGGAAGATGGCGGGGTGGGAAGGAAAGGGCAGGCAGAGTCGTGCCAGCTTTTGATGCAGGTGTGCATGTTCCCAGATGCTCGTAGCAGAAGCAAGGCCAGACTCAGAGCCCCGGGCACCCAGGTGAGGATTTCTTCCTATTGTGCGTGTGGTTTTCTACCACCAAGAAACTAATGAGCAATA